CTTTCTTTCTTTCTTTCTTTCTTTCTTTCTTTCTTTCTTTCTTTCTTTCTTTCTTTCTTTCTTTCTTTCTTTCTTTCCAAAGTCAGTATTGGCCTTCTGCTTGAATCAGGTTTTCCTCACCATCTCGGCCATCTTTGGAAACATTACCATTTTTTGAGTGGAGGGAGGATATCTCTAACACTGAGTTGTTATTTGGACTATTTAGTATCATTTCAATGGGACCAATGCTTATTCCTTGCTTTCCAAGGCCAATCTTAAAGGGCCAGTGGTGGGTTCCAGCAGCCGCTGCTGCCGGTTCACTCAGGGACACGCCTTGCGTGTGCACTTGATGCATGTTGTGCGCGCTTGATGTGTGGTGCTGTGCATGCGTGCGCAGCACAATGAAAATTGCTCTGGGCATGCGCAGAAGTAAAAAACAAGATGGCGGCACTAATGGCGCCACCAGGAGAACCGGTTCAGGGGTGTGGCAGGCGTGGGTCGCTACCGGTTCCAGGGACTCATGCCACCAAGCTACTATTAGTTCAGCTGAACCGGTCCGAACAGGTAGGAACCCACCACTGTAAAGGGTATGATCTTCCCTTCGACATTTCTCCAAATGGATAATGGCTGCTGTCAAGCTTTGCTATAGATTGGCCAAACAGCAATATCCAGTCTGTGCTTATACCACAAGATCAATAGCAGCATAGACATCCTTCCTCTGGGTTATTTCTCTACTTGGAGCCAACTCTTCCTCCTCCCCTACAACTCCTGCTGGAACAACCAATTAGTGTAGCTAGTAATGCTTTACAAATGTCAATAATATACCAAATAAGGAACATGCTCTTAATTTTCCCCAACTTTTAAAATGTCTAATATCAATATGGAAGTAGTTGACTCTAGTAGCAGTTTTTATTTTTGTGAATATTTTATATTAAAATACTGATTTCTATATAGCCATGAAACATAGGAAAAAGAAACATGTTTTTTAAAATCTGTTTTAGGTTGACCACCTTCTCATATTTTACATATAATTTCAGTTCAGTGTTGATTTGCTTAATAATATATCATACTTTTCAGGTTCGGTGGTAACATCTTTCAGTGATCGGAAAGCAGAACTTTCCAATATATACCATCAAAGACCTCCTGCTGATGTGGTGTATAACCCATTCTATATGCAACTGCCACCTCTTTCTCCAGATATCAGTCAAGGCCACACAGAAAAAATGGTGAACAAGAGATTATATGGGTCAGGTAAAAGATTTCATCAGTTGCAACACCATGTGTTTCCCTATTTTAAAGAATAGTATTAAAAGACAGCAGACATGAATTCTGCCTTTTTATATTAGTTGTGAATAAAATAAGCCTACATTAAATTAGGAAAATTAATGTCCTAAAAATTATTTTCCACAACCAGACTAATATTTTTCTATATGTTTATGTGTCTATTTTTGATTGTTTTCCCAAATAGCCTTCCATTCAGGCTGCCCCTATTAGTAGAATACTGTATTTTGGTCTTTCAGGTTATTCTTGTATTTGTATTCAGTTCTTGGGCAAGACATTCAAGCACTTTATTACACTAAAGCTACATACTCTAGGTACAAAACTCTAAAAGGAAGAAGAACAAGTTCATTTAAAGAGCAGCTTTACCTGAGGGGATAAATCTGTGTGGTATTTATATGGACTGCATTTCTTTAGAGCAAAAGCAGAAGCTACAGATATTGTCTAAGGAAGAAAATAGTTTAAGGATTATCACTATTTGACATAGACCAACCAGGTGAACTACAGAAAAGTCCATGCCCAATTGAATGGTTTTGTTTTAGGGAATTAACCAATGAGTAGTTTTTTACAAGCATACTGTAACACTTTAGAGCCAGTTTGGTGTAGTTGTGTTATTTTAAGAATTTTGTACTGAAATAGAAATAAATTTGCTGTGTTTTTGCTATTGGAACCAAGTTTAGATATTATGTGGGGCCTTGCCTTTGATTTTTTTAAACTGCTACTTTCATACTACTTTCTGGCCTTTAGTTGGGTTGCTTTCCTTACAAATATTTTCCAGCTTAGCTAGTATAGCAGTAATCACAGATATGTGCCTATGCTAGTTTAGATTGGTTGGAGTGATGTGTGAGTGGAAAATTGAAAGGCAATACATTAAACACAAAGACAGACAGAAGAAGGCTGGTTGTATCTGCATGACTGCCAGTCTTCCTGCTAGGTTATTTGGCATGGGATTTGGCATAGGAAAGTAAGATATTTGGCATAGGAAAGTAAGAAGTATGTAAGCTGCTGTAGCATTGTACCATGCAAACAGTGTATGTCTCCATCCAGCCACCTCATTCTCATGTCATCCCCTTCTTCTTTTGCCCTCAGTCTTTCCCAGCATTAGGCTCTTCTNGACTCTTGTAATATCATATTTCTGAACTCTCTTGTTACTGGTTCTTCAATGGTTCCATTTGGGGCACTTGTGGGGAAAAAATCTAGTTTATACCCTAAACTCAGCTGTTAGACAAGAGCCATTAGGCTGACAACCACAGTTCTAAAAACCACAATGGTTCTATTTGCTATTGAATAAACACTGTACACTTACTGCACAGATTCAAATTAAGCAGACAAATAATATGTGCATCTTTTTAAAATTTTTGTCTCACCCTACTTTAATTTCATGTTATCCAGGTTTCATTCAAGACTGGTGCATTTGGCTCCTGCATGAAAAAACAGAAGCATCCACTGGAAAGCTTAATAAATTGTTTTAAATGATAACCATTCTAAATAAAACAATGAAAATATGTGTGAGATTTTCATTAATTATTATGCATAACTTCCCAAAACCCCATTCAGTTCCTCTTTTTGCTGATATAGAAACACACATACACATACACACTCACAGGCAGCCCCATCTACTGTATCTTTCTTTGTGTAATCCCATACACATCCTGAGTACCACATCCTGGGAACAATAAGACATTTTTTATTTTTATTTATTTATTGAATTTGTACAATTGCCTGTCTCACCAACTGTGACAGTGGGCAGGCGCAATCATATAAAACACCAACTGTAAAAAGAAATATGTTTAAAAATATCATCATCACACACACAGACACACACACACACACACACACAAACAGACCCCTTGTGTGAAGGGAGGATATAATTCCTCCACTCAACAATGGCTCCATCTAACAAGTCTTAATGGACAGTGGCACTTTTTATGATATATATTAGCATCATTATTGATCTAGCTAGATTTTTATTAGCAATAGAGGAAACACCATACAAACTGCTTTATACTGAGTTGGAACATCTTCCATCACATCTACTGTGGATATAGACGTAAAACTAGAATTGTGTTCAAAGTACAATCCCTGATTCCCAGGAAAAAAACTATAGGAAAATGTATTTTACCCCTGCGCGATCTCAGTTGACAGGAAATGCATGAAATCCTTTTATTTGAAAATGAAAGGAATTGAATTGAGACTGTATGTACAGAGTACATCTTTAGACATAACATTATTTGGAAAGAGAGTACTTTGTGCTTTAACCTACTTCAATTCATTATAATTTTTATTGTGTTAATTCATGATTATTAACTATTCTGTATTCATGAAAGTATGAGAAAGAGGCATTATTGTAACGTATATCTTAGACAGCCAGTATTAAACCACTTTTTCAGCAATAATTATTTAAAGCAATAATTTGAATTGGCAACATTGATGGTTCAGTTGCTTTGAGATTTTATGAAGTTGAAGAACCATATTTTATAGTAAGATGAATGGTAATGTTAATCATAAATAAAGCAAATGGACAGAAGGAGACTAAGCATGTAGTTGTGTTTTCCTAGTTTGCATTGTTTAATTTTCAATTTTGTAGTGCAAAGATTTGAACTGGTCATCTACTTGTGAAGAACACCCTCAAATTTCCATCAAAGGAATCCTCACCCTACACAAACCAGTGCAGTTCAGATGTTTAGCAAAAGAAGCTTCCAATGTAAGTGGCACTTAAAAAAAAACAAAATCTATTTCAAAATTCTTCTATTTATAATATGTGAATTGATAAAAGCAGAGAGACGAGTGATTATGGAAAGGATTTCCCCCCCCCCAAATATCACATTTGACTGTCGCTTGCTTCTAGGACATCCAGTTCATGGAAACCTTTGTGTTTGCTATTAAACTGCAACTTCTCCAGACTGCAAGACTTGTGTTCAAAGTACAATCCCTGATTCCCAAGAAAAAAACTATAGGAGAATGTATTTTATCCCTGCGTGATCTCAGTTCACAGGAAATGGATTATTGGCTGATGATAACACCTCCTTCCAAAGCTTCAGTAAGTTAAAATATCCCAAGGATTCTTGAAGGGAATACATGGGGCTTTATGCAGGAACAGAAATCTAGAATTGGTTTTTGTTGGGTCCTTTTGTTTACATTCATTGATTCTTCCCTGCTTCTGTCAGGAGCCCCCAATGCTGGGAGGAGGGAGAAAAAAGAGGTCTCTTACTTGTAGCCTCTAACAGCTAAGTCTTCCACACTTGTTTCTCCCATTGTCAAATTGCAACCTGTTCCTTTTCATCTAGAGTTAATGTCTTAAAAATTATAAACAGGGTGCAAAGCTTATAATTCTTTAGATGTTGCAACTCCTTCTTCCCCTTCACCTGTTATAAATTCATCTCCATCCTAGACATAAATTCACAATAGCTTTATATCTCTAATAGTAGTTTTTATTCATAGACTGGTTTATGTAACAATTTGGCCTGTTTCGAAAAGGATGGCCTTAATAAGTCTGTTGATTTTCTCTGGTCTGGCCTACCTTGAACAGCTGATATCTCCACAAGAAAATTAAAACTATAATTTCTTGAGATAGCCTACAGTGAGAGATTCTTACAAGGCAGTTACCCTCTTTCATTTACTCTATGAATCATAGAAGTATTTGTCTGCTCCGGAGGGCCTCCGGGGGGGGCGAGGGAGGCTCTTTTTGCCCTCCCCAGGCTCCTATAAATCCTCTGGAGCCTGGGGAGGGCGAAAAATGGCTTTAAAAAAGGGTGAACTCAGCTGGCCAGTGCGCGCATGTGCACTGGTCAGCTGACAGGGCAGCGCCTCGCATGCTCTGACAAATGGTCCGCGTGCCACCTGTGGCACACATGCCATAGGTTCGCCATCCTGGCAATAGGGTTTTTTAAACATCCCAATCTTGATTCTGCCAAATTTGGAAGGATTCGGATTTATAATTCTATAGCATACAAAAGTAGCATTATCTGGTATTTAAAAAAAGATAGAGCTACTGTTTGATTAAACTGATGTTTCTTTGTCAAAATGGAAGGTCTGATCTTTTCACTTCACACCTGTGTAACAAAATGTTGGCTAAGAAGAAGATGGACCATTTATTTGCTCTTTGACTCTCTGTGCAGGTGTGTTCTGCAGAATTGAAAATAGGCACCTGTTTTCAAGCAGTAAACAGCCGGATCCAGTTGCAAATCCTGGAAGCTCAGAACCTTCCAAGTTCATCCACACCATTGTCTTCAAGTAAATACTATAGTCTTATTGGTCAAATTCCATGAACTAGAGCACGTTTAAATACAAAACCAGACATCTCTGTGTGGCTGCTATTGTTCCTTTATGATTGTATAATGGCTTTTATATAAAGGCATGACATATCTTGATTTACTATCTGGGCTTCTCACATACATAAAAGTAAAACTAAAAAGAAGCCATTTCTTCTGCATCCTGTCAGTTGATCCTTTCTGTTTTAAAATATGCTTCCTTAAAGCCCGTTATTTAATATTCAAATACGCTTATAGCAGGGGTGAGTTGCTGCCGGCATTACTGCTGGTTCGCAACCCGCATGCAACATGCACATGCGCTCTTCAATGTAAATTGTTCTGTGCGCGTGTGCAGAACAATTTACAGTGAACTGCGCACGCACATTCAACAAAATCTAAAATGGCAGTGGCCAAGCGGCAGGGAGGGAATCAGTTCAGGGTTGTGGCAGGCCTGGGTTGCTGCCCATTCTGCAACCCAGGCCTGAATTCCACTACCGATTTGGCTGAACCGGCAGCAACCCACCTCTGGCTTAGAGGTTTGAGTAGATTTATACAGGTATGGGGATGTTGCAGTCAAGATAGCAATAGGCTGCATTTTCTGTTACACTCATTGACTGACATGGAGAAATTTAACAGGGAAAACTCCATCGTCCAGAAAGCTTTCATTAGGAAATAGTCTCACTTCAGAAAGTATGTCAGTGGGCCAAAAAGCAACAAAGCTGCACTTTAAGTAGAAAGGTGAATTCCATTGGTTTTTCTAACAGTCTAATACTGGGAACTGAAGCTGCTTTCCAGTGAGCAGAGTCTTGTTTCCAAAGGTTGAGGAGTGAATGTCTATGCCTTAAAATGCATTCACCCACTCCTGGGGGGGGGGGTCCCTCTCTCCCCATTTGCCAATCGTATTATAATTAACAATAACATATTCTTTCACTTTTGGATTTCAAACTTCACACAGTGAAAACATTCCTCCAAAAATGTTGTTAATTCTACCGTAGATTTTTTTGTAAAGATTGTGATGCTCAGCACTGAAGGATTGGTTGATAAGAAAAAAACTCGTCTGCTGAAATCTACTAACAGTCAAGTAAAATGGGGAGAAACCCTGATGTTTCCTGTGAGCCAGAATGAACATGGAATAAACTTTCTCATCAAACTCTACAGTAGAAGCTCAGTGAGAAGAAAACATTTCCTGGGACAGGTTAGTCCGTCCCCCCCATGACACCCAATGCAAAAGTTTCTGAATTCTAAACTTAAAATGTATGTAGACCATGAATTTTGCTTTTTACCCCCCCCCCCCCAAAATGTTACCATTAATATAATCCTGATTGAAATAAAACAGGAATAGGAAGCCTGAAACCCTCCAGATTTTGCTGAATATTGTCTAGCCAGTTGATATTCAGAAATTTCTTTAAATATGGATTTAATTTCATTGCTATATCTTTTAAAATTTTTATCTCATTATGAATAAATAATTTTGTACCATAAACAATTTCCTCTTATGCAACTTTATATCAGAAATCTCAGATTTACAACTAATTGTCAGGAGATACAAATTTCCATTCCATTCCATTCTATAAATTGTCAGGAAGTATAAATTTGTGAATAGTTCAAAAGCCACATCCATCCATCCATCCAACACAAAACTATAGATATCATAAATTGAATTCAATAAAGCTAAATTTTGAAGGTAAGTTATTTGTAGATTTTACAGATGGCATGACATAAAATACAATACCTAATAGAAAATAGAAATGATATTCAAAACAATCTTAATAAGCTAGAAGAATCACTATTAGAAAGAGAATGCAATTTTATAGGACACAGGTAAAGTATTATTAGGAGATAAAGATTAAATGCTACGAAGGTATTGAAGCAGAAATCTCCAGATCATGGAATGTAAAAATTTCAGCCTATGTAATTTTTTTTCCAAAATCCTAAAAACAAAATAAAAGAGAACATAATCTTTTTAAAATCCATTTTAATGAAATGCATATTTTATCAGCACATGCTGTCACTCATCTTAGCATACATGTTCTTGATTCATCTTCTATATTATATAAACATGATTTTTATACACTGATCAAGATAAATGTCAAAACAGCTTTTGGCGTCATCTTTATAATGATTCTTTGTTTTCCTTATCATGCAGGTTTGGTTAAGCAGTGACAGCAACAGTGCAGAAGCTGCTGATCAATGGATGGACACAATTGCTAATCCAGAGAAGGTTGTGGTTAAATGGCATAATATCATTCCAGCATGATACTGCTTTGAACAGTCCTTTTGGTACTGATTTGGACTTGAGCCCAGAGACTTTTGCACTTATTTAAAATTACCAGCCATCAGACAACAAAGAGACAGAAAAGAGATATCTATATGGATGCATACAATAACATCTGCCCAAGAAAATCACAGAGGAAGCAATAGAATTGAAAAAGGAAGTTGGAAATCCTAGCAAAGTACATGAAAATTCAAAAGCCATGTTGAAAAAATAATGGCTTGATTATTAATTGACTGTTATTCTATAAGGCTTACATGTAAAACATTTTAATATTTATATTTTAAAAAATTTTTTTAAAATTAATTTAATTTTAAATTAATTTCAAAACTTTGTATAGATTTTCATGAAAAATACCAGTGAAGGACTATCCTTCAAGAAGATTTCGCTCCATGTATTGGTTGACAACCATGTTCCAACTATTGTTTTGCTTCTAAAAGTATTCTGTGAACACTTTATTATTTCCACCAACATGTTGAACAAGTGAGTAAAGTAGGCAGGGAGGTAGAAATAATACTTTACCATTTAAATTGAAATAAACATTTCAAGGTAATTTTTAAGAATAATTGTTGTGTTGGATAGTAAATTTGAGACATGGGCAGGTAACAATTCTTTTGTTAATGAATTCGATTTTACAGTTCTTCAGCATAAAATTTGCTTTACTGTTTTGAATAGAGATAGATTAATAAGAAGTATTCCAATTATGAAATTCAGTAGAATCTGATATCATATTTAAAACTAACAGGGACCCAGTATTCTGTGTTTTAGGAAAGCTGAATTCATCAGTCCTTATAAAATGAAAAAAACAACAAAATATGTAATCATGATTCTAACCAATTATTTTAAAAAATACGTACCTTCCCACCCTTCAGTATTTTAAAATAATAAATAAAGGCTAATAGAGCTTATATGTTAAACAAGTCCATGGATAACTAAACTGGCACCACTTATACAGTTTTGTAGAGTGCCCAGATGCCAAAATCTGAACCATGTGAGACCAATGGCCATAATCAAGCAGGTACCCTGACTATTTTAATAGAGATAAAGCATTTTAAGGCACAAGGATCTGCATTTACTGCATGCAATGCAGTATCTTGACAACTGAGATGTTTGGCAAAAGGTTTGATGGTTGAAATAGGCACTCTGCAGCCATTGGGAAAAACAGATCAGTAACATCTGAAAAACCTTCATGGGGATTTGAAATGCATGATTTAACTTGAATGCCTTTGTTGCCTCTTTCATTAAAATATCAGTTCACACTGAGCTTTCAATAAATAGGATTCAGTTTGCCTCAAAGCTGTTACCATATGAACCTGGAAGGGGACATTTAACATCAGCCCTCATGCTGATGTAATCTCAGGAGTATTTGTCCTATGATGCCCAAGAAGGGCATGAAACAATTCAGCCAGAGTTCAGTTCTTTATTTGTTTTCACATCGCAGACAGATTCTTGCCAGAATAAACCCTTACTAGTTCCAGCTTTATGGATGCACCCTGAGAGGTTCTAAGGAGTGACTATCCTTACTTTCTTCCTCTGTCTCCTCTCCAGCACCAAGATGTGCTGCCTCATGTCTCCCATCTCTTTCTGGAATATGCTCCCTCCTTCGTGAGAGACTGCCACTTCATTGTAGTCCATCACACCAACTCCCCCTCCGTGGGAACCATTTCCCACAATACCATTCCTATTTCTCATAACATCATTGCATATATGCAATGATCAGAAATGAAACTATACATATTTCCAGCAAATTGATATTTTTATAGATCATTAAACTTCAGAAATTCTATTCTCTGCAGTCTCTGCTGAAAACATTAAGAATTGCTACAGGCAGTATTACACTATTTTAAAATGCACTGGTTTCAAAAACAACAAGGCTGGTATCTGAATTCTGTTTTGGTCAGATTTTGTTGGTGTCGGTGATGCATAAAATAGAGAGTGTCCTAAGTGCATAATGAACTATGAATCAGAAAGTATAGTTTGAGAGCGATTAGCTGGAAGAATCCAGATTTTCATGAGGAAGGAGGGGGGAAAAGGCATGGGTAGAAAAGGTAGTATTAACTACAAAATGATAGCATAGAGAACCACAGTTCAGGACAGATGGGAAGAATGCATTAAGGAAAAAATGATCAAACTAAAAGCCATACTAAGAAAATCAAATGAAAAGAATAACAGGAACATAAAACTGGAGAAGACCTAGAACCGTACTTACTCCAAAACAATGAAATCTGGAATAATTCAGAAAAAATCCTCAATCTATCCTCTATCCTCAAAAATTATTAGGTAGCAAATTATTATTTTGTTATGCAAGCTGTCCTTGCTTAACCAGTCATTGAGCAACCATTTGAAGGTACAACAGACTTCCCAAATGATACTTACGATCCAATTTCACCCCTATATGGTCGTGTGATCTCATTTTGGACACTTGGCAACCAGCTTGCATTTACAGCTATTTGCAATATCCAAAGGTCATGTGATTGCCATTTTTGCCATTTTCGAGTATTTGTTTCTGACCAAAATTGGATGAACAGGTTCACTTAATGACCATCACATTCACTTAATGATCACCATGTTTGCTTAATTACTGCTACAAAAATCAGGCATGGTCACCTGGTGACCTACTTAACGGCAATGGTTTAGGTTTAGGTTTAGGTTAGGTTTAGGTTTATTAGCATTTGTAGGCCGCCCTTTTCCCTGAGGGGACTCAGGGCGGCTCACACAAAACCAGGAAGGGGGG